AAAGGGAAAATGTCGAAGGGCTTCCCGTCGGCTTTTCCTCGCAGCTGCTGGACCATCGTCGTGCTCTGGCCGTTAAAGACGTCCAGGAAGTCCTCCAGGATCTTGAAGTGGAAGGCGGGGGTCAGCAGCTTCCTTCGGGAGTGCCACTTGCTTCCTGGAGGAGGAAGAGCAATGTACAATATTCTCTTTGGCTTTGTTCTTTTCTTATGCGTCTCGCATTTTCCCATCGAAATAGTTCCACGAGGATGATGTGGACACATGAATAAGAAGAGAGGTTAGAAGTGGGAGAAGGACAATGAGACGAGGCTAATCATACCTGTGGTTGTCAGAAGGCCGTCGCCAAGCCAGTCTTTGAGAAAATTGTAATTATTGCCTTTATTGATGTGCTTCTGACTTGTAAGAATAACCTGAAATAAAAGCAATGCTCTTCTTAGGTAAACGTAATTCGATCAGAAAACATTATATGGGATGGCTGATAACTGGCACTCACTTCTGCCCCTCTGGCGCTGCAGATCATGCACGTCGGGAGAAAGCCAATCCAGAATTTGACGACCTCCCCGAGGGTGCTGGTCTTGATGAGCCATTGGATGCGGTCTGTAAAAGGGTATTTTTTATATGATGTAAATCATTTGAGTTCGTCGTTCATAGCGATATGTACTAGAATTTCAGATTAAAAACGAAGCAAAAATCTTACCCTCTGGAACGCCACTGATACGGCGAGAACCGAAGAGGAAATGGGCTTCGGGACCAGGGATCTTGGCGAGGAGCCACGACTGGGAGGGAGAGAAACACATTATACTTGTAAAGACACATCCACAGAGAGAGAGAGAGAGCTCTTTCCGTCGCTTCTTTTATACATGTCTGCCTCATCTCATCGCTCTATATTCCAGAAACGCCACTCGACTGACTTGCCTTCCGTTGCCTCTGTAAGAGCCAGGCCAGGCCGAGGGCCAGCGCCACGGTGAGGGTAAAGTACGTGAAGGCACTCGAGCCCCAGACAAGGGCGTCGTTCTTGGGCCACAGCATTACAGCAGTAACTCCCTTACTAGCACTGGAAGGAAAGACCTTACACTCTCTTGTTTTCGCTTTTAAAAGCGTTTCTTATCGAAATGTTGATATAAACCTTATCTCGTTGCCTGACGCACGTGTGATCACCGTGTTTCTGACTGAGAGTAACGACTTGAGGCTAGATATTGTAATGAAATATTCTTTTGATATGATACGATGGTTCTGCGCAGTACAATTTCTCAGTACATGCAAAAGACTCCGGGCTTATCTATTTAGTCATTTAGTAATATATCGATCTGTAGATTTTGGAAAATCTGCTCATCGCGTGTCGTTGCAGCCCCATCCCTTCTAGCCATAGAATATAACCGAGGCAGTTATGACCATCCCGATAAGACTGATTTGCAAACTCATCATGATTTGCATCGTCTATAAGATGTTTTTGTTTTTATCAACAAAGTAGCCGCATTATCGATGCTTCTGTTGCCAACGTCATTTTTTTCTTCTTCTTTCTTTAGGGAGAGAGAAGAATCCGCGCATCAGATATATGGACAGACAAGCACATTCAAACACACACACACACACACATACACAGATACCCCCAACACACACAATAAGAGAGAGAGAGAGAGAGAGAGAGAGAGACAGAGGCAAGACTCTTATCAGGGAAAGTGACAGGTACGAAATGTTACGAGGAAGACAGACGAATCCGGTCCAGATCTTGAGATGAGATAAGAACACGCAAACAGTTGTTGGGTCTATTTTTCTTGTTTACTTGTTTTCTTTTTTGATATGTTACAGACCGAAAACATGAAGGAAAGGTGAAAAGGTAACTGATTTTACTTTGGCATTTTAAGCTAGCTGTATTTTTCGACCTTGAAGGAGTTTCGCTTGGTACCCCCCCCTTTGATTATCTCTTCAGTGTGAATATTGGGCTTGCAAAACAGGGAGTGAGACTTTTTTTTTTGTAATTATGAGTATATTTGTAAGATTTTTTCCCATTTAGCATTTCTTCGGATTTTGTTAGATCCTCTAAAGTACCGGTGACAAAGCTGAAACTATACAGGTCTGTGTTTGTACTCTACACAAATATGCAGATACTTTTTGTGTTTTCATTTTTGTCCTCACTTTTTCAGCAAACTGAACCAACGTCGTTTGCAGGTTTATTTGATGTGACTAGATAGCCTTTGTATTGCATATCTTTATTGATCTTCTGCATACAAACACAGCGCCAAAATAAGAAATAAGCCATAGTATCTGAAACTTTGAGCTCAAGAAAAAAAGAAGAGATTGAAATTTTGGTTCAAAAATCGAAGCGAAATATAAATAAAGATCAGAAGATCCTCTACATTAGCAAATCTGTAAAATGAGTAGTTATAAATTGCCTAGAATCACTGATGTTTTTCCTTATTTTATAAATGATAAAAGAATTAACAAATAGTGTTAGAAGTCGAATCTTGTAACGAAGTATGCGTGACGGAATAAGTCTTATCGGAATCATCCACAGAACTGGCGTGGTGATATAATGCGTTGAACCTTGTAATATCTATTTCTATTGAAGACTTTCATGTCTACCTCTTTAGGCCACATTTTGTTTTCACTTGATTGAAATAACACAGAAAATGTGATGCTGGTGATTGTTTTCCATCACAGGATACGATAAGCGATATGCATTCAGTGTTATATGCTTTCCTGGTTACCTCTGAAAGCACTGATAGACAGAGAGCTTCAAGATATGGGAATATGAAATATGTAGTATTTTATTGATTTATTGCATCAATAAACTTTCTTAAAATCTGGAAATGAATTTTCCACTGAACTTATGTTCGTACCTGTGAACCAGTGAGCGTGTTTGAGGAATTTCATTCTCATTAGCATATTTCGTCTTTTGTGATGTGTGTTTATCATAAAATTACATTGTTCAATAGGCCTATATATTTCTACGAATATATACACAGCATAGCCGGCGTCCCCCCCCCCTCCTTATGGAGGCAGACCAGTGTTTTATTTCGAACGATTTTCGTCCCTATGGCTCAAGCTTCAATCCACACCCCCTTGGGAACCGAGGACTCTTTACAGTGCACCTAATTCTTTTAGTACACCCATAGAAATCCAATTACTTGGAATGCCTGAAGACCGAAATCTTCGGCATCTTGATTCGTAACACCCCTATTGCGCCCCCCCCCCCCCCCTTTTCACAACTTCCTGGATCCGCCCCTATTCAGAGTCGTAAAACAGTTGACAGTTTTTCATTACCAAAATTGGCAAAATTTGTCATAGGCAAATCTAAGGTCTTAGATCCTTAGATTCAATTCCCCTGACTTAGGTATCACAGTTTAAATCACGAGAACAAAGTGAGAGCGAAAGATAGAGAGAGAGCTAGATTGTGTGTTAATTATTTGCTTCAGGAACCCAACTAGATTGGTCGTTTTCTGTGATGATCGCACCTCAGATGATTGAATGGGATTTAGATAATTTCTCCCGGTAAACAATCAAATTAAAACTGCCATGAACTCCTCGGATATTATAAGTAACTTTAATCAAAATTTTACTTCATGAGTGGTTCCTACTGTGTTCATTTGATGGAACAGTTGGGAGAAGAAACACGAAATCTGAATACTGTTATATTAGCGGTAACTTTTTTTTTTTTTTTAACAAAAATAGCTCGTTATATTATGTAAACTTCTGATTTCAAAGAGTTCAGCCTTATTTGAAAGGAAATATGAACTGACTTTTACACCATTAAACTTGCACTATGTCAGGAGAAGAAAAGCTCAACTTCTGATTCAGCATTTAATAATAATATCACACACTGAATTAAGTATAAATCATATGAATGTATACATTGCATTTCCAGGAGATCTGAACCCCTCTCGTTCCTAATCGCAAGCTGTCTCCAGCAGCCGCCCTTCTGGGAGGCCAAATCCATCTTCACATGATACCGAGGAAAACGGGTGCCATCGCGAACACAACCTCCCTCGCCCCTTTGGCTCAGGGAGTTCCAGGGAAGTCCAGCAAGTGGAGGCGTTTCGACCGGTGACAGCGGAGGCTCTCCCTGCGGGTCACGCCCCGTGGCAGTCCGAGGGCCGAGGGGGCGCTGCTCACGGTGACGCCGGCAGGTGTTCTCTCTCTGTGTCCTGACGAGTCGTGCCCTTTTTTGCTGCGGCTCCGAAGGCGTTCGTTTCCGGTCGTGACCCGAAGGACAAGCTGGACCTGAGAATCTTAGAAGCAACGCAGAGCCCACGTAGAAGCCCCGTGGCCTGGCTCTAAGCTAATGGCTCACATATGCTTATATGCATGATATAGTGTATGTATGCATGTGTGTCTGTATCCGTTTGTGTATGTGTCTATGCGTTTGCGTATGTGTCTGTGTACATGTATGTATTTGTGTGTTTGGGCGCACGCATGTGTGCGTTTGTGTGTGTGTGTGTGTTCGTGTGTATGCAACATTATCATCAATGATGATAATAATGAAAATGGATATCATGATACTGTAGATTATGATGATGATGGTGATGGTTATGATGATGATGATGATCTAGAGATGAATGAGATATGAATCAAGATTCAAAATAAGAAGAATAAAGAGAAAGAATACCGTTAAAGAGTTCAGGGTTTTTAGGGACCATTTGGGAAATTAATCGCTGTGATAAAATATTTCCTGCATGACAATCTTGGTTCCTCTTTATACTATCTGAATAACTGTATAATCATTTATCAAGAAAGTAAATGCAAAATGAATGGTCCAACTGCATCCACAAGGATTGAAGAATCATAAAAAGAATAAATTTGTTTCCGTTAACCCTAGGTCTCGTTTGTGTTTAAAAAATGCATTGGAAACTTTATCATCAGGTTCTTACTCACATGAATCCTTGGAGTAGTTTTGTTGAGTCTCAGATTAAATTATTCATTTAATATTTCAGGGAAATTGTTCCCGTAGAAAGGGTAATCATTCTGACACAGATAATCCGCACCCAAGAGCAAGAGAAACAAAGGATGGTTTGGGTCTTTATTTATCAGCGCGCAAAGACAGACTACTAATCTTGAATGACAGCAGCTTCGAAACAGTTACAGGGCTGTGGATCTGGGTGTCTGAGCCGCAACTCAAAACTCGGCTGTTTTCAACTCTGTTTAACCATGGTGTGAACTGAAGAGATTAGCCGAACGGGCCTAAAATTGACACTGCACAGAAGACCGTTTTGGACCAAAACACAAGGAGCCACAGTGCACGTGAAAATACGCAATCTTGAGCTATCGATAGCAAAATGAGTGTGATGTCGCTGGAAGAAGTAGCAGTCTCAGCATCGCTCCTGGGACTTGAGCATCGCGGGAGCAGTCTCAGCATCGCGCCGGGGGACCAGCTTCACCCTGATGCCCTCGAAGGGCCGGAGAATGATTTCGCCAACAAGTTCCAGGTCATTCCTCGGAGTGACACTCTCCACGCGGAACTTTCTCAGGACGTGGCTGATCATGACCTTCTCTTCCATGAGGGCGAACTTTTGGCCTGGAAGGAAGGCGAGGAACTTGAACAGAGTGAAATGATTCTAGCTCGATGTTTCAGATTGATTTGGAAGTACAAGTGGAATGAGATTTCTGTGATAATCTGAAATCATTAGTTAAGTTAGGATAATATCAAAAGCATAGTAATCCTTCTCTGAGCGTTCATGGGCACAAGGTCCGTCCACGTGTACAACCTTGGCATCGTCTCACATGCCTTGCTTTTTTTTTTTGAGAATTGCCTATATTTGTTTAATTCTCCTTCGATAATATAAGTGTATCGTGACTCAAAAATGTAGTAAAACTGCGTTATTTGTTCAAGGCAGATACACTACATTAACATATATCCTTTTTGACAGTATAACAACAGTGAACAACGAAATGGAAATTGAAAGTGACGACGACAGCGATGATGATGGCGATGGAAATTAATCTATTCAAGAGAAAATCATGGTGTTCGAGGTCCTTCAGTTCTAGTGGCACACGTATATATTTTTTCTTACTCTTTTCTAAATGAAAACGTGGCATATCGTTTATAACAATGGTATATTACAAGCGGTTTTACTGATAAAGGTGATCGAGAAGAAAAGTAGAATATATCTGTGGTCCTGAATCCAATGGACTCACAAATACATGTATGTATATATAATATATATATACATATAAAAATATATGTATATATATATATATATAATATATATATATATAATATATATATATATATATATATATATTATATATTTTTTTTTTTTTTTTTTTTTTTTTTTTTATTATCGCTAAAGGAATTCTCACCTGACTCGCTAACGACCTCCTGACCTCCCGCTCCCAGGTCCCTCGCTCACCGATGCAGTTCCTGGGGCCGGCGCTGAAGGGGACGTAGGCGTACGGGTGCCGCGTCTTGCAGTTCTC